TTAAACATCAATTTTATCTTGTGTTTATCGTTTCTTGTCTTTTATCCTTTATTTTTCTTTTACCTTTTCAATTTTAAAAAGCTAGGGGAGCCTGGCTGGCTTCGTCAGTGGAGTGGACAACTCTTGATCTCAAGGTTGTGGGTTCGAGCCCAGGTTGGGTGTACAGATTATGTAAAAATAAAATCTCAAAAAAAAAAAAAATACAAAGGGGTGGCTCAGTCAGTTAAGCATCCAACTGCTGATTTTGGCTCAGGTCATGATCTCATGGTTCATGAGTTTGGGCCGCATCTCAGGCTCGGTGCTGACAGAGCAGAGCCTGCTTGGGATTCTCTCTTTCTCCCTCTCTCTCTCTCTCTCTCTCTGCCCCTCCCCTACTCACACACATGCACTAGTGCTCTCCATCCTTCTCTCTCTCTCTCAAAATAAATAAACTTTAATAAGCAAATAAATATGAATTTAAAAATTAAAACATAAAAAGATACATCACAGCCTGATGGAGTTCAAGTGCTTCTTGTTCCATGCAGCCCCCCTGCCTGCCACCATGCTATAGAATCCATCTTCCTTTCTTTGCTCCCATACTGTTTGTGCCATACATGGCATGTACGTGACATTTGCACTCCCAGTGCAGTGTGTGTGCACAGCATAGCTATAATATTTTCTGTGGTTCAGTGAAATGCACAGAGGCTTCTTGTACTTTGGCTCTTCCCGTGATTTAGAAGCAGGACTTAATGTTTAGCGCAGAGGTTGGATAGTACAGACAAGGCCCCAACTAGGGAAACCCAGATTCCAGCCAGATGAATTACCAGAATCTTCTGCCTCTGGAGACAGGGGTAATGTGATACCTGCTTTGCTACTTCAGAGTGGTTGAGAAACACAAATGGGAGAAGAGAGATGGCAACACTTCGCAAACCAAATGCAATGAAAGTCTATTATTCTCTGGCTAAAATTAAAAGGACAAGAACTACCAAGTGCTGGCGAGGATGTGGAAAGAAGGGAACCCTTGTGCACTGTTGGTAGAAATGTAAACTGGTGCAGCCACTGTGGAGAATGGTACGGAGGTTCTAATTTAAAAAAATTAAAATTAGGGGCGCCTGGGTGGCTTAGTCGGTTAGGCATCCGACTTTCGCTTAGGTCATGATCTCGCGGTTCGTGGGTTCGAGCCCCACGTTGGGCTCTGTGCTGACTGCCAGCTCAGAGCTTGGAGCCTGTTTCAGAGTCTGTGACTCCCTCTCTCTCTGACCCCCCCCCCCCCGCTCACGCTGTCTGTCTCTCTCCCCTAGAAATAAAAAAAAAAATTAAAAAAAATTAAAATTAGAAGTATCAGATGATTGAGTATTCACCCAAAGAAAACGAAAACATTAATTTAAAAAGATATATGCACCCCTATGTTTATTGCAGCATTGTTCACAATGGCCAAGATGCGGAAACCCAAAGGCCAATCAATCAATCAATGGATAAAGAAGATATGGTATATAGATACACAATGGAATAGTACTCAGCCATAAAAAAAGAATGAGATTTTTGTTACATGAATGGAGTTGAGGGTAAAATGCTAAGTGAACTAAATCAGACAGAGAAAGACAAATACCATGTCATTTTACTTATATGTGGAATCTAAAAAAACAGAACAAACAAACAAAAAAGCAGAAATAGTTCCAGATCCAGAGAACAAAGTGCTGGTTGCCTAAGGGGGAGGGGAATGGGGGGTTAGGTAAAAAGGGTGAGGCAGTTCTGGAATGAAAATGTCACAGGGGTAAAAGGTAGACAATACGGAATATGGTCAATGGTACTGTAATAGCTTTGTATGGTGACAGGTGGTAGCTACATTTGTGAACATAACTTAAGGTACAGGCTTGTCAGATCACAATGCGATGAAACTAATGGGACGCTGTGGGCCACTATACATTAATGCAAAAAGTCTCTTATTCTCATTACTTCTAAAAAATGGAACCTAATTCAACAGGCTGGCTTTTTGGAGGGTCAGCTTGCCCCACTCCCACGATTTCTCTTGCTCTGTTTGGGGTATTGGAGATTTTTAGGTTTTGACTGTTTTGATTGACCTAGAGGCATTCGACAGGCCATGATGATGTTAGTTGGCCTAACTTTGCTGGAAGTCATTTCCAAAGTCTTAGTTAAGGTTGGAGGAGCTGTGACTTTTTGTTCTCTCACTGAAATGGTCTCATGTTTTCATTTTTTTTAAACCTTTATTTATTTTTTTAATGTTTTATTTTATTTATTTCTAGGAGAGAGAGAGAGAGAGAGAGAGAGAGAGACAGCATGAGCAGGGGAGGGTCAGAGAGAGAGGGAGTGACAGACTCTGAAACAGGCTCCAGGCTCTGAGCTGGCTGTCAGCACAGAGCCCTACGCGGGGCTCGAACCCACTAACCGTGAGATCATGACCTAAGCGAAAGTCGGACGCTTAACCGACTAAGCCACCCAGGCGCCCCAGTCTCATGTTTTCAAAACCTCAAGAAAAGTGAAAAGTACCATTATTAAAGGCCAAGAGCCTCTGGACCACAGTTTTGGTTTTTTTTGTTTTTGTTTTTTAATGTTTTTTATTTATTTCTAGGAGAGAGAGACAGCGTGAGCAGGGGAGGGTCAGAGAGAGAGGGAGTCACAGACTGAAACAGGCTCCAGGCTCTGAGCTGGTAGTCAGCACAGAGCCCGACTCGGGGCTCGAACTCACGAACCGCGAGATCATGACCTAAGCGAAAGTCGGACGCTCAACCGACTAAGCCACCCAGGCGCCCCTGGACCACAGTTTTATGTGAAAGATCAATAAAAGTTTCATCTCAAGGAGCAGTTGGAAAAGGGCATGTGTGTGAAGCAGGGAGAGGTTTTTTGTTTGTTTTATTTCTGTTAACTTCTTAAACCTATCTTACACTTTAAAGGTTTTTATTCAGGGCGCCTGGGTGGCTCAGTTGGTTCAGTGTCTGACTTTGTCTCAGGTCATTATCTCATGGTTCATGGGTTCAAGCCCCACATTGGGCTCTGTGCTGATATCTCAGAGCCTGCAGCCTGCTCTGGATTCTGTGTCTCCTCTCCTCTGCCTCTCCTGTGCTTGTGCTTTGTGTTTCTTTGTCTCTCAGAAATAAATAAATGTTAAAAAAATAAAAAATAAAAGTTTTTATTCTCTCCCCTGCAAGTTCAAACACAGCACTTCTTAATGAGTTTTATTAACTCAAAATACCTCTGAATTCCGCAGCTCCTAAGTTGCAAACGTGGGATACATCACTGAGGAAAGAGATGGGTACACTGAAAAAACATGCTTATTTAAATTGTATTTTTATATGTACATTACTGGCTTATTATTTTATCCTGGGCATTAACATTTTTTTCATGTTTATTTATTTATTTTGAGAGAGAAAGAGAGAGAGAGCACAGGCAGAAATGGGGCAGAGAAAGAGAGAGAGAATCCCAAGCAGGCTCTGAGCTGCCAGCACAGAGCCCGACTTGGGGCTCGAAATTACAAACTGTGAGATCATGACCTGAGCTGAAATCAAGAACCAGGTGCCTAACCCATTGAGCCACCCAGGCACCCCTCTCCTGGACATTTTTTATTTGCATATAAAATAATACGCAGATCCGTTTCATAACTTGCTAACATACCTACCAATTTAAAAATCAGAAGAATAGAGAGTAGTAAAAATGATAATTCTGTAACTCTGACTAAAGTTTTTGGGTGGGAGAAATATAATGACACTTAAATGAAGACCAGGGAATCTTCCTACAATCTCCGTCCACTGTTCCTATAAACCATTAGCAGAACTGAACAATGTTTCCTGAACTTGAATAGGTAATTAACTTATTTTAATATAAACGAACAAAAATATTATGTATGTATGTTAATATCAAGTGAGACATTTAGGACAACCTCACCAGGAAGATTTGAAGTCTATGGGAGATTAAGCAATATCTGGACATTCAGTGAAAAACAAGTAATTGCTGGTAACAATAACAACAAAAAGTAAACAGTGACACCAAAGTTCTCACCTCCTTTCAAAGAAGTGTCAGTATTTCCTCCTTTACATCACATATGCAAAACTGGGCTTTCAAGGGTAGACAACTTTACATCAAGCTCCTCTGAACAGACGCTTAGGAAACAGGCTCTAATCAAGCTCTAAGCAGAGAGCTGAAAACCATTCAAAATGCCTTTTTAGGGACGCTTGGGGTGCTCAGTCAGTTAGGCCTCCGACTCTTGATCTCAGCTCAGGTCTTGATCTCAGGGTGGCGAGTTCAAGTCACATGCTGGGCTCTATGCTGGGCATGCAGCATTAAAAAAAAAAAAAAAAAGCAGGGCGGGAGAGTGCAGTTTCTGACTCTTGATTTCTGCTTGGGTCATGATCTCGGAATTGTGAGATTGAGCCCTGCGTCTCCATGCTGGGTGTGGAGCCTGCTTAAGATTCTCTCTCTCTCTCTCTCTCTCTCTCTCTCTCTCTCTCTCTCCCTCTCTCTCTTTCCTGCTTATGCTCCCTCTCTTAAGAACAAATGCCTTTTTAGTTATACCAGGAAAACGTGTATTCATCACTTTGTTTCAGGCTTTCCTTTGTTCTGAAATTCACTTTGTTCTGCACTACCTGTTTTCTCTTTCTAGGAAGGGAGCAAGAGGCAACACTAAGGGGCAGAGTCATCCTGTGGAGGACCAGTGGGGATGAGGGAGAATTTAAGATTGCTGGTTGCCTGCTCCAGTTGGCGGTATCCTACACGGGGTGGGAGGAGAGGAACTGTGCTCTGGAACCTTTCCCCGCTTTTTCCCAGTAGCCAGGGAGCCGTGCCCAGGCCCCCATGTCAGAGAGTCTACTCTGAGCTTCCGGGACCTGCTCTCCCCGTCTCATAAAAGGAAATGAAAAGTAATAGACCTTTCCTAACCATTCCCTGATATCTCACCGAGGAGCTCAATATGCACTGTAAAATAATTATTTTTCAAATGGGAGTCTTTCCAAATAGAAAAGAATGGAAATAATTAGGTTAGCGGATACAGTGTTTGGATTGACGATTACCTGTTTGAGCCACACATTTGTTGTCATCAGTTGATTCTTTTCATCCTAAGAAAATGACAGTTAGAAAGACGTAAATTCAGATTAAGTGAAATCTTTGAGGGTTTTTGTTTTGTTTTGTTTTTTGTTTTGTCAGAAAGACCTCCCTGAGTCTTAACATTTGAGGTGTTTGAAGTGTAAAGGATTCTCAACTTAAACAGTTAAATGGCATGGGATCCTAAAATATTATGCACATTTTGCTTAAAATAAAAAATAATAATTAAAGCAAAGAGCAGTTCATTGTGGTGATACTTACCCAAAATTGCATAACCCAGGGGCTCTTGTGTGTCTTAGTCGGTTGAGTGTCTGACTCTCGATTTCAGCTCAGGTCATGATCCCAGGGTCGTGGGACCAAGCCCTGCATCAGGCCCTGTGCGGAGTGCGGAGCCTGCTTGGGATTCCCTCTCTTTCTCCCTCTGCCCCTCTCCCCCACTTGTTTCTCTCTCTCTCAAATTAAAAAAAAAAATTTTTTTTAATGTTTTATTTATTTCTAGGAGAGAGAGAGAGACAGTGTGAGCAGGGGAGGGTCAGAGACAGAGGGAGTCACAGACTGAAACAGGCTCCAGGCTCTGAGCTGGCAGTCAGCACAGAGCCCGACGCGGGGCTCGAACCCACGAACCGCAAGATCATGACCTAAGCGAAAGTCGGACGCTTAACCGACTAAGCCACCCAGGCGCCCCCCAAAAAATTTTTTTTTAAATTGCATAACCCAGAAAGTATGGTAAGGCTGCAAAGTAGAATGAATATTTGCTAAATCAGAGATCAGTTTTTCATGATTTTCTAAAAGGAATCCTTGGCCATTGAGTCAGCTGAGGTCGGTGAGTATGCAACTGGTGGGACTGGGGCCTTGGGAAACAGGAGACAGTAATTCTAGGACTTTGGGGACCGCGATAGCATGACTTTGCAGAACAGGCTTCATGCGCACTGGTTTCCCAGGAACGCAATCATGGCAGAACGGGGAGCCCAACAGGAAAATCAGCAGAGAATGTTAGGTATGGTGGCATCAGGGTAACAGGTGGGGTCCTGAGGGGATTCAGGAGGGTGATGAGTCACCTGGCGCTCACTCGGGTACTGGCACCATCTCCCATTGTTCTCTGTAGGCACCCCTGCCAGCCCTCACCCAGTTCGGGGTGACACCCGATCAGCCCCGGGCACACAGATGAGCTGGGGGCGGGGGAATGCCTGTCTTAGCAGCCACATTCAACCCCCAGCAAAGAGGTGCACACAAATGTGGCAATGAAAATTGACTCCACAACACTTCTCATTCCTTCCTCGGGTCATTTCATTGGCCTCTTGGGGCCGATTTTCTCTCACAGTAGTTATTTTTAAAATTGAAATGGTAGACATGGGGAAAGAAAACAAAACAGAGTCTTAGGTTCACAAACAGGTTAAGGGATGCATGTTCTTTTTAGCTTAGTGCCAAGGATTACTCACCACATCTACGAGCTGAGATATTTTCAATCCAAAATATACTTTTATGGTGTCATTAGAATTTAATACAGGGCGAACCCATTTCTGATAACCTTGGAATAAGCGTCTGAGGAGGGCGTCTTCATTTTCAGCAATGGAACGGAATCCTGCAGCAGCTGTAAGAATCATGAGCGAAACTGGAATTAATGGGAAAAGCATAATGGCTGGCTTAGCATCCTATGGCCTGAACCTTCATGTGGTCAGCAAAGGCAGCTTGGAATATACAGGTTCCCTAACCATTCTCCATGCCCACAGCATGCGGCTGAAATCGGGTTCTATGCTTTACCCAGACCTTTGCTCTCTCATGGGATTTTCCCGCCATGAGGCCAGCATCTTGATCCCCAAAGAATCACCCACGCCACCCCCTTACCCTCGACCTCACATACCTGAGATGTCACCTCCTTATATACATGGTCTCTGCCCACGTGCTGTCGTCTACCACTGCACCCTATTTGGCTCCATCATGTCCCTTACCACAATGTGTTGTATATTAGTTATCGTCTGTCCTTCCCTTGAGCTCTGTGATGGCAGGGATGGTATCCATTTTATTTGATGATGTTTCTCCAGCACCTAGACCAGTGCCTGCCCATCTTGCGTGCTTATTTTATATCTGTTTAATAAATGATCCAATCACAGGAATATGTCAGGGCCATTTTCCCTGCATTTGGCACATATCCATTGAGCACGCATATCCACTGAGCACCTACCACATCCACTGTGCTGTCCTTCTGCATTCCTCCTGGAAGTCTTCCCTTATAAAGACCTTCCTTGGTCAAGAACCAGGTTCTAACACTCCTCTCCACCCCTACATGTCTGAGAGCTTAAGGAACACCCCAATTTCAAGCTTTGAACCTCAGGCCGAAGAAATGGCCTAGGAAAGCAGTCTAGAGATACTTTTTGTTTCTTTTCAGTGTTATGCTATCAAACTTAAACGTGGCAGCTTTGTTGTTGCTGTATGTTTTTTTTTACGTAGTTATTTACTTAGAGAGAGAGCATGGGAGGAGCAGAGAGAGAGGGAGAGAGAGAATCCCAAGCAGGCTCCATGCTCAGTGCAGAACCCCACACGGAGAATCAAACATTGGATGCTTAATGGACCATGCCACCCAGGTGTTCCTGTTTTAAATATAGTCCTTTTCTTCATATATTCAGTGCCTTATTAATCCCCTACAACAACTCATTCTGCACTGCATGGCTTACCATAGAAAACCTTTCTTTTCTACTGAGTGACACACGATGGCAATGATCATGTGCAAGACACACCCCAAAGTTTACCTAGTCAAAACCCAAAGATTTTTAGTAGGAAGAAAAGCAAACATTCCGAGTGTGTACACGAGCCCTTCACTTTATTAAGGGAGTAGCAATTCAAAACGCACCCTTTTTTAAAAATCTGAAGCATAAATAACATACAGTAATATATTAATTTCAGGTACAACATAATGATTCAACAACTCTATACGTTTCTCAGTGCTCATCATGATGTGTAGTTATGATTTGGCACCAGGCAATGTTATTTCTGTATTATTGGCTATATTCCCTATGCTGTACTTTTCATCTCTGTGACTTATTTATTTTGTAACTGGAAGCTTGAAACCCACTTGTAATGCTCCTAGGGGTAAACAGAGATGTCAGTAAGGTAGGTTGCGTACTCAGGCCGCTCCCACCCTTTTCTCTTATGTTCTAAAAAGTATATGAAAATGCGAATGAGTGATGGAGAGAGCTTATCTGTGTGCTTAGTTATCTAAAAAGCCAACTGTTCTCAGGGAGCCTGGGTGGCTCAGTCGGTTAGGTGTTGGGCTCTTGATTTTGGCTCAGGTCGTGATCTCATGTGCAATGACAGCAATGAGCCTGCTTGGGATTCTCTCTCTCCCTCTCTCTCTCTGCCCTTTCCCTCCTTCCCTTCTTCCACCCCTCAAAATAAATGAATAAACTGAAAAAAAAGCTAATTGTTCTCAAACTTTGATACTTCAGCTGTTCTTAGCAGGCATCGCTGCAGGAAGGAGCGGGTCAGCTGGGTGGCTGCCAGGACAGCACTCTGCAAAACCTTACTGGAAGTTAGGGGAGGGGAGGAGTCAAAATTCCCTGAAGCCTCCGGAGGGATGGGGTGTTCACTTGCTCAGGCTAAACTTCACGAATTCCCTACCCCACAACCGGTCTTATCTTTCTTCAAAATACATCGTAACTCTGTCTCCCACCATTTCTGGTGGTGCCACCTGCGTCACAAATTCCAGTCTCTCCCTTGGATTCTTGTGCTGCCTCCTCCTGGCTTCCACTCTTGCCTCTTTTACAGTTCATTTCCTGCTCAGCAGATGGAACCTTCTCTTCAAAGCAGAGGATTATTTCAGTTCCCTGCTCAAATCCTACAAATGGCTTCCCACCAAACGTAGACAGACATCTCACGTCCTTACCACGGTTTCCTGGGGTTCGTGTTGGCCCTACCCTCTCCACCAATGCCCTTACCCCTCCTCCCCAGAGCCTCAGGCCCATCTGCTCTTTCTAGAACATGCCTGTGTGCTTCTGTTTGGGGAAGGCTCTTGCCCTGAAGAGAACTCCATACTCATTCCTTCTTCTTGCCCCACCTTTGCTCAAATGTCATCTCCTCGAAGTGGTCATTCCAGGTTACACAATCTAAAAATCCCTCCTCACAATTTATTCCCTTAATGATACTTTATCTTGCATGAGAGCAGTGGAACATATTATACATTTCTTTGTCTATTGTCTGTCTGCCCTATTGGAAAATGCCAGCTCCACGACACCTTTCTCATTTCTGCCTCCCATGGGGCCTGGCACATCATCGCTGCTGAGCAAACCCTTGTGCAGCAATGCAGTGAGCTACTTTGTTGAGTGGTGTTTGGAGAATTTGGGCCATAGCTGAATTGTTCTGGAGGAGAGAGAAGCAGGGAGGTCACAGCTGTCCTCCCTCAGCCTTCCCCTGGCAGGAGAATATTGTTGGGTGGGCACTGTGACAGTGACCGCTGGTTCCCTCCTCAACAGCCATTTACCCTTTCTTTCTCAGTAACAAATGCCAATTTTATTCAGGATTGAATGGTACCAGCTTAAAATGTTCCCTTCTCAGGCCTCTTACAGCTAGGGATGGCCATATGACATACACACGGCCACTTAAATTCAAACAGATGCCCCTGGGTGAGGTTTGTAGGAAATACTATTGAGAAGGATGGACTCAGTCCAACATGCATCTTTCATCTTTCACCTTTTGCTCCCTCTTCTTCCTGCCTAGAGCTAGAACATGGCATCTAGGGATCTCGCCACCGAGGTATCTAACAAGCCCGATGAAAGCTACATACATAAGATGGCGGAATAGAAAGACAGATGGTCCCTGATAGCACTCTAAGTCCACCAACCAACTAAGGACTGATTGTCTCCAAATTTCTTGGTGTGTGAGAAAAACAATCTTTCCTTTTGGATAAGCTGTTATAGCCATTGTTACATGCATCTGAGTGTAGTCCTAACGGCCAAGAGCCTTTGTGTCTCAGTTCAGCCCAGTGAGAACAATTTACTGAAGACACCACCTCACAATGGATGGAGACACTCCAGGAAGGCTGACAACAACCGGATAATGTCTGAACCAACACACACACACACACACACACACACACACACACACACACACGGACTTCTTAGCTTGAACAACTCTAAGCATTATAATTCTGGACATGTGAGAGGGATCCTAAGTAAGAACAGAAGTTGTACTTTTGAACCTCCTTTCCTGGCAGGAAAATCTTACTGGCAATTTGCAGGGAGGTAGACTTGCACATTGGGAGGGATCTTCTAAAATTATGACTTTGACAACCTCAGTTGTACCCTCTGTGAGAATGATTGGATCCTGCTCTTTGGAAGGATAAGCAGATTTGCTCTCTCAGGCACCTTCGTATGTTTTGACCCAAGCTGCCAATGTCAGAGGGTGAGCTATTGTCAGAATCAAGGCACAAAAAGCATAAATCTGTACTGGCTGTTATGGACTGAATACTTGTGTGCCTTCAAATTCCTATGTTGAAGCCCTAACCCCAATGTGACTATATTTGGAGATAGAGCCTATAAGGAGGTATTTAAGGCCAAATAAAGTCATCGGTGTGGGGCCCTAATCCAATAGGTCTGGTATCCTAATAAGAAGCGGAAGAGACATGAGAGAGCTCTCTCTCTCCATGCAAGCCCGAGGAAGAGCCAGGTGAGGACACTGTCAGAAGGCAGCTGTTTACAGGCCAGGAAGAGAATTCTCACAGAAACCATATTTTCTGACAGCTTGATCATGGACTTCTAGGCTCCAGAACTGTGAGAAAATAAATTGCCGTTCAGCCACACAGTCTGTGGTATTTCGTTATGGCAGCCTGAGCTGACTAGACCCAAATATCTTCAACCTTCTTGAACTTTCCCAAATAAAAGTTGAAGTCATTGATGTTATTGGAGCAGATGCAGAGGATAGCCCCGGAAATGTTTCTTGTGTGTCCTTCTTGCAAAATAGAACATTATAAGGAAGGGAAAGTGTTTCCACTGTTGATTCTTTGAGACTAGGGACTCAAGAAGTACTTTGTGACGTTTGGCAAAAGAACAAATGAAAGAGTCAGTGCACAAAGGCTCTAATGGCACTTTCTGTGCACAGGGGGAGGAGGCAGAGTGACCTTGGCTCACTGCTCTAGAGGATGTAGGATCACAGATGTTCTAGGATTTCTAGTACAAGTGGTCCCTGTTTTAAGGAATACATGGATCCCTGAAAAGTAGTGTGAAAACCAAAGTTTTGCAAATAGATTTGTATTTTAAATAAATTAGACAAGATCGATATTCTAAGATACCTCTCAGCAATGTATCGACAAGTCAACGAACTGCTCTTGGAAGCTGAGTGACTCCCTGAGTGGGTGCCTGTATTTCCCGAAGTCCACTTCCTGAAGGGAGGGCCGGGAGAGCACTTGTATTTGTAAATAATGTCAGCAATAGGAAGGACAAGTGAAATGATGACGAAGTGAAGATAATGGAACCAAAAAGGACTTTGAAGGTCATCTAAGTCCCTCATTTTACAGATGAAGATCCTGAGGTGGCAAGAAGGACAGTGACTTACCCAGGGTAAACCTGGTTAATGAGGGGCAGATGCGTTCATGTCTACGAACATAAATTTGTTATTATATGCTTTTTTGTTGTTGTTGTCGCATAGTTGTTAGCATTGTATTTACCAAAATACTTTACTTTAAAGCAATCTATTGCCAGGAAGAATGATATTCTAAAACCAGATCACAGATGATATTTGTTTGGTGGTAGAGAGATATTCAACGCTGGTGATGGTATTGCATAATCCAACTCAATCTCCGTCTACAGCAGTTGAGACCTGGCACCTGGCTTGGCTCTGGCATCCCTTGAATGGGCACTGAGGTCACTCTCCTTGGAGATCGACACCCAATGCTTTATGTGAGAGCAATCCTGCTTCAGACTTGACCATGGTCCCTTCACATTTTTTGCATTAAGTCTTGCTTTGCACCCCTTACACACACACACACACACACACACACACACACACACACACACACTGAGTTTAATGCACATCTCCAAAGGATGTGTGCTGTCTGTTACAGCTTGTTACCATTTTTTTGGTAAAAAGGAATTTCATTGCTCTCTTAAGTCCCATTTCTCCCCCCTTCTTTGTCTCTCCCTCTCCCTACTTAATCTTTGTCTCATTTTCTTTGTCAAAATATTTCTCTTGGGACTGTGTAAGCAACTCTGCAGGTGGAAGACCAGAAGAGGGAGAGCACATGCAAGCGATCAGACAGACAGATGGGGAGCTCTGCCTGATTCCAGTAATTTCCTCCACGTGGAACTCAGGCTGGGAAAGTGCTCTAGGAGGGCACTCCGCTTTTGGCTCTGGACACAGAGTCTCTTGCCAAACTCGTCACTCACTAGAACAAGAATCCAAAAAATATTTATTTAACATTGAGAGCCACTGGACTCAGATTTAGATATATGAGTTTTGGTCTTGTTTCCAAACCAGGCAATCTTCATCGAGCAAGGCATTTAACTTCTCCCAATAACAATAGAATGGTGGATGATTGGTAAGCCCCTACCAACTCACATCTGCTATGCTCCTAGGATCTTTATGTCCATGACACAGACACAAAATATGACCTATTAATGCCCAGTATTTGTTATTCTGAAGACACAAAAAGAGTCAATGTTTAAGATGTGTCATTGATTGGAGGATATCTCTCCTGGCTGCCATTTACTGCAAAAGAGGCATCTGGGTAAAGGTAACTGAAGCTATGAAGGGTTAGACAGGACTCACCACCCATGAGGAGGTTAGGGCTCTCTCAACCCCTGTAAGTAGGATCATGAGAGATTTGGATGAGGTACCCAGTACCAGCTTGAGGCAAAGAAATTTTTTTTTTTTGAAACCTACAACTTGACTTTCTGGCCTCTTTCTTCTTCTCGACCATGTTTCTTTTCCTTTCTTCAGGCTCTCAGGCTTTCTGCTCTCTCCTCACTCAATGATCAAAATCCACTTTCTGGGGCATCTGGACAGCTCAGTCAGTTGAGCATCCTGCTCTTGATTTTGGCTCAGGTCATGATCTCACGCTTTGTGAGATCAAGCCCCGCAACGTGCTCTCTGCTGTTAGTGCTGAGCCTGCTTTGGATCCCCTGTTTCCTTCTCTCTCTGGCCCTCCCCACTTATACTTCTCTCTCTCTCTCAAAAATAAACATTAAAAAAAAAAACACTTTCTGCAAAGTTTTGGCAAGTTCATGGATGCTGAGCTATAAATAACTGATAAGGCTTAATCTATGAAAATTCACATGCTTATTTATGGTTTTATTGAAGACAACATCATTGTTTATCCTTAGCTAAGAGAGTAAAGAAGTAATAAGAGACTTTTAAACTTCAGCAAATATGGTTGGGAGAGACACATTTTTTGCTTTGACACTTTTTGGTATATTTTGGTTTTGTCCTTCCATTATCACCAGCTTGTCCCAAAAAATCACACCAGAAGTATGTTAGAAGTATGTTAGCTTCTGCTGTCAACACATAGAGCTAGCCCTCGGGGTGAAATCAAATAATAAATATTGAATGGATTCCTGCTAGCGTGAGAGTTTATTAGAATGACTTTGTTTTTTCCCCTCTTGCACTCCCCATGCTGGAATCATTCCTAGGATACAGTACACCCTCAGTAAATATTTATTGAATGAATAAACACACATCACCACGTGGTAAGAATGATGGGAAGATGAGTAAGATACAGGCCCTATTTCTGGGAGCAGACACTAACCCACAAAGCATGAACTAGCAACACAAGAGATGTCACATGGCCATACACAATTATTCTTTCCGCCAAAGCCAGAAATATAAAAATGAAGGGTTGCTCCTTGTAATTTGGAAAAGGTAGTTTTGTGTAACAAAAAGAAGCCACTTCCTTTGCAATGAACAGTAAAGCTACAAAATTTAAGGAAAGGTAGTACAGATCTGAAAATAGAAATAGACGCCATTGGACCTAGAAATATCCACAAATGTGAGTTACTACAGGTTATTATACAGGTTGATTGTAGATCTGTGACAGACATAAACAGCACAGTATCAATCCCTGAACCCTTACAGCCTATGCGATGGAGAATGAGTACCAGTCTCACCTCCAATTCCAATTTTCTTATGTACCCATCCATCACTGTGTGAGGTGAGGATGCAGAGGTGAACTGAGAGGGTGTATGCCAACTCCCCCCATCAACCAGTGACTGGTTTCCCCCGGGGAACAAATGGTAGGAACCCATTCTTTCATAGTAGATAGAATAGTACATTAATGCAGAAAAGAACATTAGACACGTGTGTATTAACAGTATGCTAAAACACACAGAAGTTGATGATTATTTTTACGATTGGCCAATTGCACTGCAGACTTTGCAGAGTCCAAATTTAGTGATATTTGAAAGTGAGTGTGATGCCCTCTGCACTTAAAAACTACTGGTTTTGAGACCCCCGTATGAGGAAAGGCTACGTTTTAAAGATATGATAATGCTCAGGTATGTTCGTGCCTAGATTTGAAATCTAGGGTTTATTCAGTCTAGGATTTATTTCAGGACTTGGGCAAATCGCAGTGCCTCTGGCTCTCCATCTGAAAATAGCAGTAGTCAAACACTGCAAAAATACTAGTGAGAAATGAATACAAATTGCTAATGGGGCAACAGTGTGTGTGTTCTTGCCACTTGGTTCCTGGCTCTACATGGTTTCTGCTGCTGTGAGGAGAGCTTTGTGTTCTGAAGTTCCATAAAAAGGGAACTGATTCCCAAACCCAGATAACTGGCAGGTGCAAAGATCATCTCCCCTAAACTTTTCAGTTACTTTCTTCCTCTTTCCATTTCTCTTCTGTCTGTTTGTCTCTCTCCTTCTCTCCTTTTATGTGCCCTCTTCCTTTATTAAGAATCCCCTTGATTTCAGGTGGATAGCAGCCACAGAAAACTCACACGTTTACAGACATCGGATGTATACTTTTGCTTCATTGCCATATACAAACATACTAAATACATCTACACAGAAATTAAGGTTTGTAGATAGGACTACAGGATAGACTGGATAAAATTAAGTATCCACACACAGATATAGTGATTATTACTAGATATGATATAAAAATGTTGATGTAGTAAATTTCTGTGCCAAATATTTTAACAATTCTGAGTAGCATTCAGTGCATTGGGTAGTATTTTTTCTGCTTTTATAGCTTCCTACCAAGTTCATGATTCAGAAGGAAAAGCACAGGAAATGACAACAGCATAAACATTATGGAATTCATAGTATGATGATTTTTTTAGCAATATACAGATTTCCTAGAATTACTCATTGGAGCCACGTTTTAAAGGTTATCCTAAAGATACCTATACAACACATTTTATCATTCTAGCATTTAGCCGCCTCCCTGGCTAAAATAATTCTGCGGTGATGAAGTTTTAATTTTCTCTAACTTGAGCTTACCTGAGGAAATGACACCGAGGATGATGAGCATCGGGATACAGCCTGCCAGTATCATGATGTCAGGTTAGGAAAGAGAATTTCTTCCTTTTTAACAATATAGTATTTCCATCAGAAAGGGAGGTTTTGAATAGAAAATGCAGTGGTTCAAAATCCGAAGTGGAGCCCAAGGGGGAAACACCTGAAGTGGGGATAAGACCATCTCACACCGCCTCACGACAGGGCGATGGTTCTTAAACTACACTTCATTGATTTCCAGTCAGCTGTCAGATCGTGTAAGTCTAAAACATATCTCTGGGTCCTAACTCCTGACTTATTAATTTGCTCTCTCACAAGGAGATGCAGGGCAAAATGGAAAGGATGAGGCTGGACCACTTCTGAATGTTCTGGGGTTTGTTTGGTTTTTTTCCTCACAGTTGGAGATCTGTGCAAAGGAGAAAAACTGCATTTTATCTCATGGGTTGTGGAAGTTAGTGAGAAATTTCTCATATATATTATTCCTCTATTGTCTCCTTATTTTCGACTGGGAGCTCAAGAATAATGACTATGAGGGGGTCAAAAGGTATAAAATTCCAGCTCTAAAATAAGTCACGGGGAGGTAGTGTATAGCATGGTGACTATAGTTAATAACACCACTGCGTATTTTTTTTAATGTTTTATTTATTTCTAGGAGAGAGAGAGAGACAGCGTGAGCAGGGGAGGGTCAGAGAGAGAGGGAGTCACAGACTGAAACAGGCTCCAGGCTCTGAGCTGGCAGTCAGCACAGAGCCCGACGCGGGGCTCGAACTCACGAACCGCGAGATCATGACCTAAGCGAAAATCAGACGCTTAACCGACTAAGCCACCCAGGCACCCCATCCACTGCATATTTGAAAGTTACTAGAAGAATAGATCTTAGAAGTTCTCATCATGAGAAAAAAAATTTTGTAACTATGTGTGCTAATGGATGGCAACTAGCCTGATTGTGATCATTTTGCAATGTGTCCAAATATTGCATCATTACCTTGTCCACGTGAAACTAATATAATGTTGGATGTCTGTTATACCGCAATTTGAAAAAAAGACTAATGAATGCATCCTATGGCTCTCACGTCTAATGTGTGCTAACGTCAGAGCATCCTCTGTGCTTGCCTTGAGCCCACCAGATCCACCTTATCTTCTACGGGAGAGAGTGTGGCCCGAGCTTGGTCTGGTTTTGTTTCCCTAATGGGACTTGGAGGCTGATACTGCCACCCTTTCTTTCACCTTTTTCACAGTAGGTCAGATTTTCATCTAGTTCAGTGGTGTCCACACCCAGAGGACCCCTCATAAATGCAAATCTAACGAATGGGCAAGTGTAAGTTAGGGCTGGATGCAGGAGAGGGCCAGGTGGGAGCGGGCACCTGGATAAGGACCAGATGTTGGAGCACCAGGCTTCGGGGCACTGAGGAATTCCACTTGGGCAACACCGAGTCCATCTTTGGCCCTCCATCTTGTTTTCGCCTCTGGGAACAGGTGGCAACACGTTAAATAACTAGAAAAGAGCCCTTCTGGGCACAGCTGGAGCCCCATTAGATAACTAGTAGAGAGCCCCTGTGGCGGGCTGGTGTGCCACCTTAGATAGCTACCCTGGGACCACACCACTGTGCCCCTCACTCCATAAAATCTGGGGATTAAGGTCTGGATGGCTGCCCAGAATAGGAGTGGAGAATAGCTTCGTAGTGCCCTGGCGGGTTGGTCCATTCGCCCTCCTGACCGCCCTTGCCAGTAAGCTACCCCGAATAAAAACTGTGCAGACGGTATGGAGTGGCTTACTTTGGTTTTCAGTACGAAAGTGCCTCTCAGTCTGTAGGATACATTACTGACCGTCCTCCACCTTCTAACACTGATTAAATCCAATTTAAAATGCTCTTGATGTTCTCTTATTAATCCCCCAATATGTGCCATTAGCAATTTTCAACCCCCAGGCCCTGCTCAGCAATATACAACCAAAACAGCTCTAGCTTCGGCGGTAAGACTCTGCCCTCCTCATGCCCACGTCTCTGCTCCCCTCTGACGACCCCTGAGGACGGGGCTGTGTTCTTTTATCCCTGTATCTCCACTTTCTCTCCAGCGCCTAGCACACGAAATGCTTGCGAGCGTTGCTTGGAAGAAAGGAGGACAGAAATAATCAGACATTGATTTCCTACGCATCTCATCTCCTATGCGGTGGGTTCCAGGCCTGCTGTGAATTTACAACGGTCTCGGGCATAAATTAGCCACTAACCCAGAAGTGCAGGAAGTATCACCTTTATTTCAATAAATCAAATAAAATGAGGCTTGCCGTTCCACTGAGCAGGCAGAAAAATGAGTCTCAGTCATTACAGGAGCTCCCTCCTCTCGTCTGGGGTAGCAAAAGACACTGGAAAGCTTATGTGTCCCCCAAAATACAGGGTAGACCCTGTAGACTCCAGTCCATCTTGACCACGGCAGACGGGTCAGTGGCCAGCCCACGTGGTCCTCTGGGAGTGGCGGTTGTGCCGCCGTCGGCTCGGTTCTGCCAGGACTAGAGGTCTGGATGATAGAATGCCCCCTTTCCAAGCCTCCACACAGCCGCTGCTCCCTGGGGATGGCTGTCTCCGTCGGTGCCACCACGGCAGCATGGCCCTGGCTGGGACAGGGACAGCCAGCCTCTGGCCCCTTCTGCTGTTTTTGCCAAGTTCTTACCCATCTCCTGTACAGCTTCCTTCCTCCCTGAAAAGAGACTCTTTGTCTCCATCCCACTCTAGAAACTTCAATAATTTTTTCAGTGAGTTTAGACTTTTAGTGAGAGCAGACATCAAATAAACAGGAAGAGAAGTTGTCTTTAGGCAGCTTCTGCTGTGAGTCCCTGGAAACATAAAGAGCTCAGCTCTTTTCCTGGAAAACGTAGGGGGAAAAACATACATAGAGCAAAACACAAATCCTTATCTCAAGAAATTATCCTGCCCTGAACCTGGTTTGAAAGTGTGTGCATGTCTCCACACCTGTCCTACATCCTGTGATCAGCATGAGCTGGGCAGCCGCCTGGGCCATGGCATTGGGTCTATCCAATCAGAAACAATCAGAGGTCAAGGCGCCTGGGTGGCTCAGGGAAGCGTCCGACTCTTGGTTTCAGCTTAGGTCATGATCTCATGGTTCGGGAGTTCAAGCCCCGCATCGGGCTCTATACTGATGGTATGGAGCCTGCTTGGGATTCTCTCTGCCCCTCCCCTGCTTGTGCTCTCTCACTCAAAATAAATAAATAACTTTAAAAAATTACTTAAAAATGGGGCACCTGGGTGGCTCAGTCGGTTAAGCGTCCGACTTTCGCTTAGGTCATGATCTCGTGGTTCTTGGGTTCGTGCCCCGTTTCGGGCTCTGTGCTGTCTGCCTGCTCTGAGCCTGGAGCCTGTTTCAGTCTGTGACTCCCTCTCTCTCTGACCCTCCCCTGCTCACGCTGTCTCTCTCTCTCTCCTAGAAATAAATAAAACATTAAAAAAAAAAATTAAAAAAAAAATGGGGCGCCTGGGTGGCTCAGTCGGTTAAGCACCCAACCTCAGCTCAGGTCATGATCTCACAGTTTGGGAGTTCAAGCCCTGTGTCAGGCTCTGTGCTGACATCTCGGAGCCTGGAGCCTGCTTCCATTTCTGTGTCTCCCTTCCCTCTCTGCCCCTCCCCTTCTTGCACTCTCTCTCTCAAAAATGACTAAACATTAAAAAATTACTTAAAAAAAAGAAAGACTCAGAGGTCTCCATTATCAACAGAGGATACGTTTACATTCTAGGACACCAAGCAAAACCTCTGCTCGTCTGTCACTGACCGAATGCGCTACCTGTGAAGAATAAGCTGGCTCATTGCGAGGCTCTGGAATGTTCTACAGACCACTTCCATGGGACATGTACTCATGACAGTCACAAAAACAAAACTAAAGCGGAGAGAAAGCAGATTGCTTTCAACTGAAGATTTGAAAAGTTACAATCAGTATGTATGTATGTATGTATGTATGTATTAAAGATTTTATTTCTTTAGGGACGTCTGGGTGACTCAGTCAGTTAAGCATTAGACTTCAGCCAGATCTCTCTCAGCTCAGAGCCTGGAGATTGCTTCAGATTCTGCGTCTCCTTCTCTCTCTGCCACCGCCCCCTCTCCCCCGCCCCCGTTTGTGTTTGTTCTGTCTCTCAAAAAAAACACTTAAATTTAAGAAAATAAAAAGATTTGATTTCTTTAAGTAATATCTACACCCAAAGTGGGACTTGAACTTACAACCTCGAAATCAAGTGTTGCATGCTCTACCAACTGAGCCAATATTTTATTTATTTATTTATTTATTTATTTATTTGTTGAGACGGGGGGGGGGAGAGAGAGAGAGAGAGAGAGAGAGAATTCTTTGGGTTTGAAACTCAAAGGGCCTGGGAGAGAGAGCACTTTAATAGAAAAAGAGTGTCAATCCCTTTCTTTCCACCGCTCTCTTGTGTGATGTCCTCCCAATAGGGATTGTTCTCAGAGATTTGAAATGCATGGCTTTTAAATGCATGTTAAATTATTTCCTGAGATCCAGCCCTGAGCCAAAGGGCTCCTGGAAAGGATCTGCATTTCCCCAGCATTGGCGTTAGCAGCGATTAGGACCCAGGGAAAGGACATAGCGACGCTGGACGTGCGGTACAGGACTCGGGGGCCCCCTGGTGGACTGTAGATCATGCTGCAGTCTCAGGTCAGCAGTCTCCTTTTATAAACGATGTGTGCTTTAGATATTATTCGTTCCTTAAATTTTAAATTAAAAAAAATAAACTAAAATTAATACCGGCTGCCCAAATACAAAATTAAGCACTAGAAGGCAATGGGCTGTTGGTGTAACAGCTCCACGCATCCTCAGACAGCTCCCAGGAAGGGGGTGCAAGCCCCCTGCAGTAGCTGCAAGGCTCTAGGCCTGGAAGGGGCTGCCGGCTGCCACTGCGGGGAACCCAGGCCTGGGGGAGCTGGGAGCGCCCACCGCCGGGAACCTCGGTGGTCACTGTGGGAAGGAGGGCCTGCATGGAGACACTACTTCTAGACTTA